TGCCATTTTCGGTAGAGGTCGTTATAAGTTTTGGGCCTTTGCCGCTATCTCATTGTTAGCTTTGTGGTCTATGTTCACCGGAACTGTTACCCTCCGTTGGTCCGCCGGTAACCTCAACGCCATATCCGATGACATCGACATTCCCCTCCCCGAAGATCTTGACGTTCTCGTCCGTACATTTCCCATTTTCAAACCTTTTGTTTTTTTAATTTATGTCGTCCTATTGGAAATGCTGGGGCTAGTTTGGAATTGAGTGATTGGATTACGTACTTATTAATAAATTGATATTTTTCATTGGTTGATTTTCGGAAATTGTTATGAATTTTTGGCAGGAAATGGAAGAAAGGGAGAAGTTAGTGAAGCATATGTGGGATGTATACACAAACAGCCGTGGGATCAAATTGTTAAAGTTTTGGCAGGAAGCATTTGAGGCTGCCTATGAGGAGTTAGCCAGTGACGTCCCTGGAGTCCCAGAGGATGCCCTTTCTGAGATTGCTAAGATGTCTGTACGCTACATTCCTATTGAATCACCACCTCTTCATTCGTCGGTTAGCTCTCTCTTTCATTTTTGAATCCAATTCTCATGGCGATTTGGGTGTTTTTTAGACAAGCAATAAGCCTCGTAGCGCTCTTGTGATCTTTACCACTGTTAATTGATTGTTACAATGTGAATTGTCATTTTAACGGTGTGCTGATAGAAGCTTTAACAACAATAGCAACCATACTTCAAAGTCTCTGTTTGATTGGGGTTTACTATATAGATTTTTCATTTTTCGTTTTGACTCGATTTGTTCATGTTTCATTTCAATACTCTTATGATTTCTTTGTAAGACAAATTTGCAGCTCTCTAACCCTATTGTATTTATCTTACTTTTATACAAATCTCTAAATGTATATAGAAGATGTCCAGCATACTCCAGACTGTAAGTGTATCAACATTACCAAGTCTTAATCTCGACTAGTTGGCATTGCTCAAATGATCTTTTGCTTTCATTGTGTTTTGCTCTTCACCAAGTCTAGCTAACTTTCTTCCATGTGATTTTAGGATTACCTCATTTCCTTTAAAATAACTTCAATCATTATTTGGTAATGCTGACAGATCAGTGCACTTAAAGATCTACCTAAACTCTTTTATGAATCTTTTCTTTCAAGTGTCCTATTTTAATTCTTAGACTTACTTTTTCATGTATTGCACCATTCTCTTAGATTACTAGGCTAGATCTCTGAATTGTGTGCATTTAGACATCACACCTGTTGAATCTCAACTTCATTTGTGCTGGCAGAGTTTATGTAAAAAAAAATAACTAGAATTTGCTTGTATGTTCCCCTTGTCATCTTTAGTTTCGTTATTTTGGCGATACTATATACTTAGAATGTTGCAAATGCTTCACTTGTCTATCATCACTCATAACAATGAATTTTAAGTAGTTTTTCCTTGAACTTTAAGGTATATGGTAAGTCCAAGTCAAAGGAAACTGAAAAATGCAACATAATTTGGTCTATATTCTTTGCAATGCAACTTTTAGGTAGTTGCCATTTCTTAAACTTTTCACAATCCACTAACTTAATCTGATGGTTGTGTGAGTTTATTATATTTAAGAAGATATCATAATGAACTGAAGCACATTGGGAAGTATACTTTTCTGCTCTTTGGCTCACAACTATCATAATGTCGACTTGGTCAGAAATAATACACTGAGTAGACTGTTCTATTTGGTACTTCTTAGAAAAAACATAATTTGTTTCAGATTAGGTAAGGTAGTATTTGACCTCTACACATTAAATATGAATTTAATACTGAAGTTAGCCATTTTGACTAAAGCATCTCCCTGATTTATTTAATTCTAATCTCCTTGGATGCTAAATCAAATTTACCCAATAAACTGGTATCTGCTGCAATTTCGTAAGTTGACTTTCCTGAGACAGTCGCTATTTCATATATATATATATATATACATGTACACGTAGAGATAGGGGTGGGCATTCGGTATTTCGGTTCGGTTCGGGTTTTTTTTCGGTTTTTAGTTTTTGTAAATTGCGTACCGAATACCGAACCGAAATATTTCGGTTCGGTTCGGTTTTTTAATGGGCCTGTTTAGTGGGCTTTTTAAAATTTTAAACTTAACAATTTTTTCAATTTTTTGTTTGATTTTTCAACTTAATGGACTTTGATATTTCAACTTAGGGTTTCTTATTTTTTTTAAAAAGATTATTTAATATTAATAATTATTAAATATAATATAATTTATAAATTATAATATAATATTTCGGTTTAAACCGAAATACCGAATTCCAAAGTAACATGTACCGAAAACCGAATCGAAATATCAAAAATACAAAAAATTAAACCGAATACCGAACCGAAAACCGAAATACCGAAACCGAAATTCTGAAAAATTTCGATTCGGTTCGGTGTTTTGATTTTCCGGTTTTTATGCCCACCCCTACGTAGAGAGAGAAGTTCCAACTATCCCTAACTGACGCTGGTAGGGAAATTTGGAAATTCTCTCCCACGTCACGCTAGATTATGATTATGGGCTAAAATTCAACAGCTGATGTCACCAGCCCATAATGGAAGATTTTTCACTATTAGTATTGTTATATTATTATTTCTAGTTTTTAAACTTGCACTACTCTTTTTCTTGTTCATTGTTTGCTTCTGGGAAATGCTTTTCTTTTTGTAATGGTGGTGTCCGAGCAAGCTTATGTGTGTCTTGACTTTTCCACAGGGTACCTGCTACCTCCCACCAACATAGGTACCAGGTTGGCTTAGGCAAATGGGAAGCTGGGATTCATACATGATACCTCATTTTCTAATCCCACTTCGCTGACCATTAGGCAATACCCTTGAGTTCCACTTTGGTGCAATGTTAATGCTTACATTCTATTTGCTTCTTAATTTGAGATTTCATTGATTACATTTTATCATTAATGTGGCGATATTCTACAGCCGCAAGTTTACTAGTTTTATGTTCTGTGTTCCTTATGGTTGCTTCCTTCGACTATTTGAAACCATCTAATTGTGGTTTGTTGTGTGGACCCATTCATAGGGAGAAGTGTTCTCAGTAACTAGATTCATGAGTTGTATTTTTAGATAACTTTGATATGAAAACTTATTTTTCTTTCTTCCTTGGCTAGAATTTACCTGCATGTTGACTGTACTTGGCTATTTTGCTATGTTGAACTTTAGCGATTTGCATATGGAAAAGTTTAAAAAAACAGTCCTCCCGTTCCATCTTGCTTATTGAATCACATGATAGTGTAAATCATCTGTTGTTAACTTGTTATTTTCGATAATATTGGTGATAGGTCTACCATTTCTGTCTTTCACTTTTACCATCAACATGAGATGATCTTCTATAATTCGTTTGCTCCAGTCGAAAATTTCTCCTTGTTTACATTGACAAAATACAACTTCCTCGTTGGAGCTGATTGGACCTGATAATAACACAGTTCTCTTTTCGACTTTGATGTGCGTATTCTTGTGTTATTTCTTTGTTTTCTCTGATGAAGCTTATGAAATTTCTTGTTGCTCCATATAAGAGTTGAAGAAAGTTCTCAGTATTTATATATGTATGTAATAAAGAGTTGAAGGGAAGTTCTCTTTGCCTCTTAGAGGGCAGTTTACATGAAATATGCAGTAACTTCCTATTAAGTACACTGTGATAAAATAGTAGCTTTTCTTTCTGCAACTTAATTGGTCAAGTTGGTTGGCGTGAAACACGATAGCCTAACAATATTGTGCCCAAGGTTGGCAGGTGATGGATAATAAGATGTTCCGTTTTTCCTTTCTATAGGCCAATAACTTTGGCTGGAAAAACAACATTCTTTATGGCTGGATCTCTCTCTTTAGCCTCTAACGTGCGCTGATTGTTGCTGCTATTTTGTGTTGTCTTTTGTTAAAAGTTACAGTCAAAGATAACTTTCTTAATTCCACCCAGTTTGCTCTCCTAGATTCTTGTTATGTTGTGATTGTTCCTAATGTTAATGATGCGTTTTGATCCCATTTTAAACTATTTCAGGGAATTCGTGAATTAAGTCTAAGGCAAATGAAGAGGGAGCAAACAACTGCAACAGGGAGAAAGTTATGACTTGGAGAATATCAATCCCCATTTGTGTGGTCACCGCTTTTCACACACATGAATGATAGATTTATCCCATCTGCTGTCTGGTTATTGTGAAATAGCATTTGTGAAAAGATTACACTGTCAGTTCATTGCATTTTTTGCTGTTAGGGAAAAACTAGTATCTATTTAGGATTTCATACTTGTAAATTTTTTCTCCTCTTATTTTTGAAAATCACAAGTTCGTGAAAACTCGAAAAACGTCATGATTGGATTAATTCGTGCAAAAAAGACGATCTATATTTGTTGCTATTAGTTTTGCGCTGAAATACAGTTTTGATAATAGACATGTTTTGGGCTTGTATTTAAATTTACTGATGATACTCTTATCATATGTACATTGTGAACTTTGTGTTTTTTGTTGTACGGTTTTGAGAGAGAATTTGAGTATTCAGAAAGTAAAATCATCATATTTCCAAACTTTAACTTTTTGATTTGATTCTACGTATATAACCGCTATGTCCTCGGTAAGTTCTTAAGTTCTCTTCATGAAGCAGCAACCCGCATGTCCGTTCTTGATTTTTTAATTACATGTTTTAGGGGAAAAAAAGAAATAAGAAAAGTGATTGATTGTTATGAAATACTAAGCGCTTCAATGTGGAAGAAAGAATTGTATTCGGACGTGTAAGAACAGCACAAAGCCACAAATGTTTTGTTGATAGTAACTGTGATCTTCAGAAGCTTAAAATATGTATATAGACGATGAGTTCAAATGTATGTGCTCTTAAAATACGTATTTTTTTGTATATGTATACATAGACCGAGTGGAAAATTAGGGTTCAATTCAACGCACTGAGCTCGTCCTAGGTCCTAACTGGTATGAACTACTTCTTCCATTATTTAATTTTCCGAATGTAAGAAAGTTAAAGGTTAATATATGTAGAGGCAAAGAGTTGTTATCAGATAGAAACTTGACAAATTTCTCTAATATATACTGCTCAAATTAGTACAGTAGTTTTTTCTTTAAAGACTAGGAGAAAAAGCTTTCTGTTTGTGTATATACTGCAAAATTGTGTTGAGTATGCTTCAAGTATATAATTTCCAAACATCCATTCTAGACTCGAGAACGTTCTTTATCGAAATCTGAAGGAGGCATGAAGAAATCAGTCGTCAATCTTCCAACATTAAAATCTACCTCTTCAATTTTCCATCTTTCCTCCAGCTGCCTCTTGTGGTTTGCAGAGTGCTCACCATATCTGAAAACTGTAACAAAAGTTTTGCCACTATGTGCAACATTAACTCCTTCAACATGCTTATAGTCCTCCATAACAGATTCTGTGCTAGTCTCCCAGAAGACGCCCTCATCGTCCCTGCTGGTCTTTACTGTTAGCAGCCTGGAATCCTCAAACTTGATCATTAGACCTGATCTTTGGCTGAAGTATCCCCAGATTGTGTGATGAAGTATTTCATAATTTGGACCACTTTGTGCCTCCAATGCTGCTTGGTTTGTGTCTAGTTTGAGAATGAAACAGTCCTCTTCGTTTATTATCTTCTCTCCTATGCAGACTGCATTCGCAAACAAGTTTGATATAGATCGAGGATCTAGTCCCTACAACAATAGCATATCATCATTTAGCTACCAAATACAACGTTGATACTACACGTAATTGAGAAGTGATTTGAAAACTCAAATGACTGGAAGGCCAATTTTCCGTCCCTAGAGCAATGACCAGTCATTTGTATTTAGTGACCAGTCCGTGCAGAGTTGAGTTACTTGCTATGACAGTTTAAGCTTGTTTTACCTGCAGGAAGCGGCGGAGAGGTCTTGGAGGACCCTTGGAGATAGGCCTAATTTGATTAGAAGATTGTCTCCATGAGATTTTGCCATTACTACCAGAAATGACTTTACATCCGGAGATAAGTAACTCTAAGCACCAAAGGTCAGGATTCTTTTGCCAAAGCACAAAGCCTCCGTTTTCGTCACTTTTTCTCACCTTCACACTTTGATCACCTTGATGAAAATCAGATCCAGAAATTTTAACATGCCCAATTACACACATACTATTCACTGCATTTAACGCTGGTTGTCCCCCTGTTGCTGCTATGTATTGTTGCAATATGTATTTCGCTGTAGACGCTTCCTGCACATCAATTTCAAAAATAATTAGTCGAGATATGTATCAGTAATTATAAATGCCAAAAACTTACAATGGAAGAATGTTTGACAGGACGATTAACGGATTGGCCCAATTGGATCTGGAAAGGGATAAGAGGAGATCCCACCATATAAAGTAGAAAACTAAGTTCATTATAACGAGCAGCAACAATAGGTGAAGACCATTTATCAGATGTTTGAGCTTTCATCCATGTTGCCATATTTTGCCATCTAAGTGCTGCATTACTTCCCATGCTTTTGAACATTTCATCTGGAATTGGAACCTCCAGCACCGTCTCCAACCCATCTTCTTTATCAACATTTGGACAAAGTATCCTCATGTAAAAATTATTATTTAACTCAAGACGTATTTTACCTTATGCAAAATTTAAACTTACTACTTAATTTTAGCGTGAATTTAATTTCGAATATCAAACGAAAGAGAAAAGCACAAGGCTGAGAGATAATGAAGGATTGTTATGCAAAAACAACATTCTATTCTATGCTTTTGTTTGCCTAAAACAAAGTAGTATTTGAGGTGGGCAAGTTTTTGCGGAGAGATTTTTATAAAAATATATTTCTAAATTAATTAAGGATTTAAGGTTCCCCATTCTTTTAGCAATCGTGCGGCCAACATTTTATCTAATTTTATTTTGTTTCGTATCGACTAAGGACCATTTAGAGCTTTAAAATTACAAGTGCAATAAAAAATTTTAACTTCACAAATAGGAGTGAAAATACATGATATTTTAGATTCTTTTGGCTCATATTTTGGAAAAGCTTATGCACAAACATTCATTTGTATTGTATCAAAAATGGCTTTTACTAGATAAGTATATTTTTATTTATTTAAAATTTGTTTTTAAATTAAAAATCATATAAGCAAATATTAATTTAAAAATTAATGAAATAGATTTAGTGATTTATAACTAAATTTGAATTTTGAATTTAAATTTAAAGTTAAGTGATTCTATGAAAGAAAAATTCATATTTTATTAATTTTGTGTTAAAAATCAAAATTAAATGAATTTATGAGAAAAAAATTTATAATCGAGTGACTTTAAAAATAAAAATTAAAATTGAAGGAGTCACATATAAAATATTATCTCAATTTGTACTGTATCAAGAACAAAGTATTAAAGACTATTGGGAGAAGAAATATTATGTGTGAGATTATAAATTGAAAACACTTGAAACAATTGAATGTAAAGTAATGATAAAATATTTCTTCATTTTTTAAATTAGACAAGTACAATGTAACCTCACTAACAGGTGAGACTATGAAATATTATAATTTTACAGAGAAACTATGTAATCGATAAACTTATACTTATTAATTTAAAAAAATGTTTTGAGATTTAATCTTGTGATGCTGTAAAAATAAAAACGTTCAAGATGTATTATCGCAACATATTTTATTGTATGATATTTTAGAGTGCTACAAAGTGCGACAAACGGATCCAAAAAATATTGCTATCAATTTTGCAATCCTCGCTTGGACAACAAATGTTTAAAGAAAGAAATAATAGCAAATTATTTTCAACATTGCAAAAATTGTTGGGAAAAATAAATCTTAAAGAATTTGAATGAACCCAGTTGAAATGTCATTCATGAACTTGACATAATGATTAATTATCTCAGTTACCATAATAAAATCAACGTCAACAACTTGTCGGATTATCCGGATGAAAATGATACACGTTCAGAGGTTTAAAGCTTAATAGAAATTGAAGATATAAATGTTGATGATGAAACTGAAGATGATACAATACATTTGGAAGAAATGACGCATAAGAAAACACTTATAGCATCTAGAACTATTCACAATTTTATGATTCATTTAATAAAGACAACACATGAACTTTGAGATATAATAACAAAAATTAGAAATGAACTTCGACTAGAACTAAATTTTTTTCACTTGATCACTTTTAATACATTTATAATACAATTTTAATACATATCACAAAAAAATTATTTATTATTCACATAAAATACAAATTTTATTAATGAATAATACATTTTTCACATATTTTATTACGTTGATTTATTACCAAACAAGCATAATATATTTTTAAAAATAATTACAAACACATATATATTACATACATAATTTCACTTTTAATATATATTGTAGGTTAACATAATGTTGCTATAAATGGTAATAAAGAAAAAGTATCGCTAAAATCAGTAATTTATTTTTTAAAATATATTAATTAATGTAATTTTTCCTTTATTTTTTACATAAAATTTAAAGTTTGTATGAATATATCATTTTCTCAATAAATAAGTGTGCAAATAGAAAATTATATTTACATTTGCTATTATTAACGGGACAAACATAAAATTATTCAAACAACATTTTTAGCTTTGCTTTTAGTAGCGGAACAAAATGAAAGCACGTTTCATATTTTTCGTCTTCGTTCGAATGCATATAGGAAGAATACACTGAATCCTATTAAACTTATCACTAAATTATATTTTGATATTTATCAATTGTAATTTGTTTTAATTGAACATTTAAACATATAATAAAATGTTTCATTAGATATTTTTGACTCATATTTTAAAAAAGTTTTTGCACGTTTTCACAAACGATTATAAATGAGCTATTGTGCATCATTATATTAGAAATTAAAATATTGAGCGCATGAAAATTAATTAAATGACAAACTTATTTGCATAATGTATGCACTTCAAGAACAATTAGATGAGCTTTTTTCAGCATTTTAAATTGGATTTGTCTAATATTAACATTTTATCATATGTTCAGGCAGTGTCGGAGCCACATGTAGTGAAACGGTGTCGATCGACAATCTTTCGTTGGAAAATTACATTATGTAGCTAGAATAAAGATATTTTTTGTGTATATATATAGTACAACATATTGACACTCCTTGACTTCTACACGATTTTATTTCTTTAGATTTTGACATCCTTTAAATAAAATTCTAGCTCCGTCACTGTGTTCCACAAAAATATGTCTTAGTTCGAATATCTAATTAAAATTTACTGACAAATTTAAGAAATTATCAATGGTGAGAAAATGTTAATTGACTAATGGTGTTATATACAATTTGTGTTGCAAAAGGCTCTATTGTGTTCAACAATTTGTTGGTTAATAATTCACGCCTAGTATAAACTATAAAGCTAGAAGTACGAGGATAGTTTTTTGGATGTCCATGAAATGTAAGAAAGTTTGGCAAAAAGTCATACTCAGCAAGTGTCCTTTTATTTCAATTCCCATACTCTTACATAAATATGGACCAACACGTAATAACCTACACATCACGTGACTTGATTTTAACTACTCATTTCTACTCTTCATAGTAACACATGCAATCCAACTGACTTGATTTATATTATTCATTTCACCGTAACAAAAATATCATTAGTGATATTTAATTTTTAAGCAGTAATTGTCATTCTTTGTATATGTTCCTAAAGTTTTTAGCAATATTGGTTCTAATGACACTTAACTAATGTCGATCAAGACTTTAGCACTATTTATTAGTGTCAACATTTAATGCCGTTAAAAATTATTTTTCTTTATAGCGTTTGTACTCTTTCTTTTTGGTTTGCAGAAGTAGTCCACTTCACCTAATTGACAAAAAATAATGTATTTAAATATTACTAGTAGAAAGAAAAAGTTATTGGATTCTACTATACATCTTCATCCCTTTGTTTTAATCTGTTTTCTATAAGGTAAAGTAAAGTAGATAAATTTGATATAACAGAGTAAATTTTTCTGAAAGTATGAAAAATATTACTAGAATGAGTGCATATATGAATTAAAATTCATGTAGTAAACTCGTGCGCACCTTACTAGCGCAAGTACTTCACAACTGCTCATACTTGTGGTTTGTCGCCAGTAGTAATAGTGACTGAGCTACTCTTTGTCCAAAGAATGTTAATTGACACTCCTCCGTATATAAAAAGTTTTTTTTTTAATTTTTTTTATTTACATATATTATTCTTATGTCTAATATTATGTGATACTTTTTTTTTTTTAGTTTGTTCCAAAAAGAATATTACTTTATTATAATAGGAAATAACTTATCTTTTTAAATTTTCACTTTTATTAGGCCACAAGTTTCAAACAAATTCATTTTTTTCTTCTTAAGTTAAGTTAAACATTGCCACACATAAAATGGGTCGGGGAGTATATGTTTTATTTTTGTGATGTCTCCATATGCGTTTAGATAGGAAGGCATGATTATCATAAAAGTGTAGAAGATTGATAGGTCGCTGAGAATTGTAATATAGAGCATTGCATCAGTTGTAGACTCCTAAATATTATATTCATGTAGTGTTTGACTTTTGATATTTGATATCATTTTTGATTTGTTATATTTAGGTGATTGCCCTTCTTCTTATTGTAACATGTTCCTGGCATACGTGCTCCGTGTTACTTTGCTATTATTTGTCATATTTTTTTCTCTCCTATTATCAAGAATCTTTTGAAATAGACTTAAATTTTCTTATAGATTCTATTCTTTACGAATCTACTTTATGATATTTTACTCATTATGTAAGTGATAGTTATTCAAAGAGAAAACAGAGAAAAGAAAGGACAAGCCCATGGATGGATGATTTTGTTTTCTTGGATTCCCTTATAATCTTTTGAGAGGCTTCTTATTTGAATTGGCTTTTCTTTAAGACATATCATTGAAAACACTTTTGTCCAAAGACAAAGATTAGTTCCTTTTCTTTCATTTCTCTCAAGTTCCCTATTATGCAAATGGTTTCATTATATCGAAGACAAAAATATTCTTTTCTTTGCAAACTACTTTTTGTCATTAATGCATGTTTGTCTCACTATTTTTTTTTTTTTTTTGGGCAGAGTAACATCTATATTATTTCTTTATTGTGTTTGTTAGATCCTCATATTATCACTTTGCCAAGTACAAAGGTTTTCCCTCATTTTTTAAGAAGTTTAAAAAAATATCAAACCAAACATATTCAGCATCGCAGCACCAATTTGAAAAAAACACACGGGGCTTAGTTGATCCATGATTTATGTTTCATCTTTCGTTTCCTTTTCGTTTGTTTCGAGAAATCTATCGATCAATATTGATTTTTTTCTTTTTCTCTTGATTCTTTTCCGATCGAGATATGTAGATCCTGTTCATGGATTAACGAAAATGTGCAAAAGCTCTATTTGCCTCTGCCATTCTATGAGTCTCTTCCTTTTTGCGTATGGCATCGCCACTCCCTTTGACAGCATCCACTAATTCGGGTTTCAATTTGAAAGCCATATTTCGATCTGGACGTTTTTGGAATGCCGCTAATAACCAATGGCAAGTGCTTTTCGCAAGTCATTATTGAAATTTTCTCAAATTTTTTTTAAATTTTTTTAACTTTGTGGGTGTTTATTACCATTGAATAACTTCAAAATTGTATGATGTATACCTTATTTTTCACCCAATATCACTTATACTAAAATATTTATAAATTACCCACTAATAGTCACTAATCACATATTAAAATTAATATTTAATTATTTTTATTTGATTCCTTTGCTTCTTCTTTTTTTTGCTTTTTCTCTTTCTTCGGCTCAACCTCAATTATT